TACATCACATGATATATCTAACTGTAAGGAAATATTTCAGAGCTGATTGGAATGCAGCAGGCAAGGATGTTGTGGTTCTTCACCAATTTTGGCGTGGCAAATATTGTCCCAATATGAGTCCATATGTCTTGAAAGTGGAATGTTTTATGCGTTTGGCTGGTATCAAGTATGTTGTAAGTAAAATATATGTTGCGGATATGTTGCCCTTGTATTGTTTGTAAGAGTAAACAAAAAGAAGAATGTAAATTGTATCATATACTTACTATGTTATACTATTTTATCAGTATATTTTGGTAAATAATATTTTATTTAACTCTCAACAGACTGACATCCAAAAACCTTTTGGAGCAAGAGGTTTGTGTCCTTGGATCACTCTTAATGGGGAAGACATTGATGATTCCCAGCATATACTTGAACGTTTGACGGAGCAGTTTAATGTCAAACTTGATGACCATCTCACACCAGAGAGAAAGGCAACTCTTGAAGCTATAAGAATCATGTTGGAAGAACACTTCTTCTGGTATGATACTCTGTAATTCTGCAGACAAGAAAGTGATATGATCTTTTTCTTCTTCTTTATTTCTTTACTAATAGCACTTATCTGTCTTTTCAGGATTTTGTTCATGTATAGGTATTACCATACAAATTGCAAGGTATTTAAGAAAACTCAAGTATTCCCAACTTGGTTTCTGCATTACTTTTTCTCAACATACCTTTACTACCACTCACAAAAGCGAGGAAGAGCACAAGGTATTGCTCGACATACATATGCTGAACAGGTCAAGATGACTGAGAAAAATCTTGAGATCCTTAATACACTTCTTGGTAAGTTTTATAGATATTATAGATATCTTAAATCTTTATAACAAGTGATATATTTTGTTATCTTTTATGATAAAAAATTCCACCCTCTATACTGTTGTTTGAAGGCTTTTTAGAATCTGACTAAATAATTTCATGCCTGTTCTTATTGTTATTATGAAAATGTAATCATGGATTTTGAATGTTACAATTCATTGGTGTAGCACCTATTAGGCACTAAAGGCCCGGGTCTACACTTTATCACAAATGAAAATCATAAAAGGACTAAAAACACAATGTAAACAAGAAAGTATTCAATACATTTTTGTATAACTATATAGCAATAACTTCCCTTTAAAGAATTTCCCAGAATGCAAGAAATCACATCTTAAAAAAATAAATAAATAAAACGGGGAGTGTGCCCTGAACCCCTCTAAACGTTTTTGGTGCCTTCTTGTGCAGTTATGATGCTCAGACTATATAGGGCCTACACTGTCATTTTATCAGAGCTACACCTCTGCAACTGTGTACAGATATTGTTCATAGTTTATATTGTAAAAATACAGGACTTATCTATGAAAGTGAAACTGTATATTACAGAAAAGTACTTTTGCAACATATAATTCACATTACTATGTATTTCTGGATTTAGATACAATTACAGTATTTTTACAGGTGATGGCCAGTATTTTGGTGGTGACCAGCCCTGTTCAACTGACTGCATTATTTTTGGATTTTTGGCCCAGGGCATGTGGAATGACACTGACTCACCCTTTGAGACACTTATCAAAGGTTAGAGGAAGAGAAAGAAGGAATATCATATTGAGTAATATATATCCAGATTGTATTTTAAATTATGTTCTCTTTTATGATACGTAAACAGGAATATATATGCAATTCTGTTTTTATTTTCCAGTTACATATCCAAAGTTAGCTGCTTACTGCATCAGGATAAAGGAGCGTATATATCCTGACTGGAAGAAGCTGTTAAATCCACCTCAAGAATAAAGGTGTTCAGGTCTTCCTATAGTTCACATATTCAGATTTTTAAATCTTTTCAGCAGTACATAAAATTACCTCATAATTGTAGTTGGATTCTTGAAGTATCAAAGTAATTATGATCTTAAAAAATGTAAAATAAATATGGTCTTGTAGATAGTATAGGTTAAATGTATCATTTCTAAGACTGCTTAATGTCATTGTGATTTGGGAACAATAAATAATAGTTGGAGAATTGCTATATGTTTTTCATTTTGTCTGTTTTCTATGTAAGTGAGGATTTTCACTAGAGTAGAATTTCTCATTACAACCTTAAAGATTTACTATAATTTTACTGATTTATAGTAATTAAGCACTGTTTGTGTATTGTTCTATAGTAACAGTATACAAACAGCACACTGTAGTTTCACTATAGCCAGTAAGGGTAAGCTCACATATACAACTTTGAGTTTATGAGGGGAGAGTCAGCTATTTGTAGATAAATAGCCATATTGATAAGATACACTACCAGAAGGGGAGGGCACTCAAAACTTGAAGTGAATATTATATAATGTGTTTAAAAAAAATTGATAAGATAA